AAAAAAAATGTAGGCATCTCTTGTTTAGAAATAAAGAAGAAAAGAACCCTTTCCAAATAATGCCATGAGTCAGTATGCTAGTCATTCTCATGTGCTATCCCATTTCACATACCAGACTTGCTATTTATATTTTTACACTCATTTACAGACAAAAGTTCAAATATTTAGAAAAGATATTATTTTTTTCCAAAGGGCACACATCCAATAAATATCAGGTCAGAATTTTAATTCCGGACCGTGCTCTTTTTATTACCTAGGTGCTATATGATTAACAACACTAAGGTTGAACAGGTTTTCATCTGACCAAGGACACAGTGCAGTCAAACAATTCCTGGCTGAAGAAGTATCTGTAGAGTAGTAAACCAGTGCATCAAGGCATTAGGCCAGGAAAGCTTATTTGCTTTCAAGAAAACTGTATCCTATAGTTAGCAGAAAATAAATGTGAGCCAAAGTCAGTATGAATATCTCAGCCCTTAGTAGATAGGACAACGGAGAAGGAATTACACTTTTGAACAGAATGAATAATATCACTTAATGGAGATGTCAATGGGAAAGATTTAATAGATGAGGATATATGTCCATCTGATAGATTCCAATGACGGGTTGCCAGAGAGGATTATTTCAGGAAAATAATACTGTACTGGATGAATTAGTGTCAAGATCTAGTCCTTATACTTTTAGAATTATTTTGTGGGAATTGAAGCCTTCAAACCCATCCACAGAGTTTCCTTTTTCTGCTTTAGATCGTGGATAAACTAGCACAAGTTCAATTTACATCATTTTCTGCATTTTTAAAATGTTTTTGTGACAGTCACAAACTGAGCCAAAAGTGATAGAGATATTTTCTTTTTGAAACTCTAGGATTGGCTTTCTTGGATTCCATATTTGTATGTAAACACTTCTTAAAATAGTTTCAGCCTTGTTTTTAGTTCTCATAAGGGAAAGAAATGAGAAACCTGTTATAGTCCTTTCTTGGTTTATTATTCGGTAATTTTTGAGTACCTATTTTTTAAAGTAATTTATTTATTTATTTATTTATTTATTTATTTATTTATTTATTTATTTATTTATTTTTGAGACAGAGAGTACAGGGGAAGGGCAGAGAGAGAGAAAGAGACAGGGAAACCCAAGTAAGTAGGTCAGCGTGGAGCCCAACATGGAGCTTGAACTCACAAAATGTGAGATCATGACCGGAGCCAAAATCAAGAGTCTGACATCCAGGCACCCCTTGAGTACCTATTTTGTAGCAGATTCTGGCATATGCCAGGAATACAGAAATGTACAACAGACATAGTTCCTGACTTCTTGGAGTAGCGATCTAAGTTGAAAAAAACACTTCACAATTAATGTTTAAACAAAACAAAACAAAACAAAACTTATAGCTATGTGCCTTCTTGATATATAGTCCAAAATAACTCTTCCAAAATGTGTGTTGGCAAAATAACTCTTAATAGAAGATTAATTTGCTGTTGGTTATTCTAAGGACAGGCATTAAAAGGAATTTAGTAACTTCTTTAATATCTTCTGGTGTTTCTGTTATAAGAAACTGTGACAAGTATAGACTATCTGTTTATTCCTTATACTGAAAATCTTTTAGTTTTGCCTTCATTGTATTTATCCTTACCATGGTCTGGTAGTGTCACCTGAATTTTCCATGGGGAATTTCTACTCTTCCATGCTGCACAACTTCAGTAGTTATCAATCAAGACGCCTGTGTTCATTTTTCCAAGAAATAGGCAAAGGACCCAGACCAGAATGATTTGAGTCTCTTTCCTGGGCATTTTAATCTATAGTCAAAGGACATAAAAACACTGATTAGTTGAGCTGATTTGTCCACTGCAACAAAAGCCTCCCCCCCACCCCCCACCAAAAATTCCCATTCATCCAACACCCTTTCTTTTCCTGTTGCAGCTCTGTTTTCTGTATTTTCTGCAGTCAAGCCCTATCCTATGCGCTGGGGGTAGTATGGTGAAGAAAACAGATGTGGTCTTTGTTCTCCTCATACTCAAAATACTCAAGGCAGATGTTTATCACATCATCACAAAAATCAGTTAATTGCAAACTGAGATAAATAGGACCATAAGGAAAGATTGGGATGAGTCTAGCAGTTAGGTGCTTATTTTAGTTAGCATTGTGGAAAGCCCTAGCACGCTCTTCATGTTTCTTGCTAGGTGAAATTTTTGAGATTTTATGGAGAATTATAGTTTAATTTGGTTGCATAACTAGATACACATGAACTCACAGTGAAAGCCCCCAAGAAAGCAGAGAGAGCTAACAGGCTGCATCAGCAGTTTTCATTCTTCCTGGAGAACCTGTTGTACAAACAAAAGAATTTTTTTTATTCAGTAGAATGCTAACATCATCAAAACTAACATGATATGAATCAAAAAAGGTGAAGCAATTTTGATGCCATTAAACTTATATGAAATGAATAAAAGGCACTCAACACTTCAATATCACATACTTAGAGCATAGGTATAGCTACGAGATAATTGAAGATTATGTGATGTTAAAACATCTGCCTTTATGATTGTAGTAGATATAGCTTCACATTTGTAGCCTTTCTATTTAAGTGTTATGTTTCCATTGGAAAAAAAACACATTAGTATTTCTCTATAGAAATCATTTTTCATGGTTAAAAAAATAAAACAAACTGTAAAGTCATTATCAAAAAATAAATTTGCTACAAGACTAAAAATATAAATTTAAGTGGAAAAAGGTGAACCTCAAGGTTAAATATTTATTCATTTAGAAGAGTAACCATTTTCCCTAATATAATATGCATATAATAGCAAACAAACGGCAACTATTAGAGTGAATACATAATCTTATTTTTCTTGAACTCCTTATTTGGTTAAAATATTTATAGGTGAGCTAATTACCTAGTTGATGGATTTATAATATTTCTTATTGATCATTACAATAGAATTCTGGTACAATATTATAAATATTAACAATAATAGTTATTCATCAACAGTAGGTAAGCTCAATCTAAGGGGAAAATTAAATATTGATTTACAATATGAAAACTTACTTGATTTCTGACTTTAGCTATATATACTTGCACCTATGTTTTTCAATATTACCTTTTTAATAAAAGTTTTATATATTTATTTTGAGAGAGAGAGAGAGAGGGAGAGAGAAAGCATGAGCAGGGGAGGGGCAGAGAGAGAGAGAGAGAGAGAGAGAATCCCAAGCAGGCTCTGCACTGTCAGTGCAGAAATGGATGTGGGGCTTAAACTCAAGAACTGTGAGATCATGACCTGAGCCGAAACCAAGTCTAATGGTTAACCAACTGAGCCACCCACACACCCCTCATCATTACCTTTTTAACTCCTCTGGGGAAAACTTAATATATTTTCAGTCCTCAAGAAAATCATATTTACCAATGTAAATGTTTCCAGGTTTATCTGTGAAAATATATTTATGGACTCTGTATGAAATTTGCCATTTACTCGTCAGTGAAATAATTTCAGGTATACTCTACTGTAATAGAGTATTACTAGTATTACGACCTTTGTCATAAACAAATATTATGAATATATTCACATTTTATTAAATATTTTGATAAGACAATTTAATCAATATATAATAGAACATTTCATTTGTTTTTCTTTTATTATTATGATAAATTTGCAATAAATAGTTTTATAAAACATTTTTAAATGTGAATCTGGTTAGTTTCTAAGGGTTAATACTTATAATTAAAATTTTTAAATTTGTGCTTGTATAGTTTGATATTTGTATTTTATTTTATTTTAAATTCCAATATAGTTAGCATACAGTATTATATTAGTTTCAGGTATACAATATAGTGATTGAACAATTCCATACATCACCCAGTGCTCATCATGACAAGTACACTCCTTAATCCCCATTGCCTACTTTACACATCCCAGTCTTTTAGAACTGATTTGTTTCCCTTTCTTTTTTTTTTTTTTTTGTTGTATATTCCTTACTTTGCAACAATTAATTTCATCCAATGTGTAAGCATATTTTTAACACTTATTTAGGTAATGATTACATTCCCCATCTTTTTGGACCACAAATTTACATTCTTGAAATTTTTTTAATTCATTTGTCATTTGAATAGACTGAATAGATACCACACATCTTAAACCCTCTTGGCATTCCTATGTGTCTTGGGAGGTGTGAATTTGTTTCCACCACTAATCTCTCCATTATCTTCTACTGTTGAATAATAAGAAGAAAGGAAAGCAAGTCAGTAACATTTTTCTTTAATGAAAAATTCTATCTATATGCTTATGCAGTATATTTTCTTCTACCTTATAAATGAATAGTTTCAGCAGGATTTAATTAAGAGTTTATATTCTTTTTGGAACTTTGTAGTATTTGAGGGATTTTTTTCAGATGTATAGAATTAAGTCTTTAGTAAGGAAAAATTCCTTTTCTCGTTATAAAAACTTTCCATTTCTATCCCATTTTTTCTTTCTTAGATAACTTAGATAATTTAGGGTCTTAGTTAACACTTCATTAGGTTTTTTCTCCCCCCTTCTTCATAGCTATCACCTTCAACTGTTTTCATCTATTTGTCCTTTTCTTTCAGTCATTTGCCCAGTTTTATTCCCATATAAAGTATTTTATTTTTCACAGTATCAGCTCTGTCTTTATTAGTACAAAAAGAAGTTTTGCATTGGACCACTATAACTTGTGGTTACAATTTTTCTTATGTCATTCAGTTTTCCTTTTAAATGACATTTTATCTAGGTAAAATATTTTATCATCCTTTCATTGCATTCTTCATAAAATCCATGTTTTTTTAATTTGGCAGAGATCACATAGCACATAATACTTGAAATGGATTTCTTATTTTATTAAGGCTTATCAAAACTGTGCTTGTCTTCTATTTCAAATGTTATTTTTATTGTTGTTTATTTTTTTCCCTAATAACCTCTCCTTTCTATTGTCCATGCCCTGAATGGTAAGATGTCTATTGGTATTTTCTTGAATTCTAAGAGCGTCCCTCTGCATGCTTTTAGGATCCTCTTCTCATATCTCAAGAGATTTGGATGGCTGAAGTAAAGTGACATCAGGAATTCAGCATTCTGAGGTAAGTGGGGCCTTCTGTCAGCAGTCGTCTTTGTTTTCTTCCATGTGTTAGTCAAAGTGTTGCTCCCAAGTCCATTTGTTCTTCTTCATCACTGGGCCCTGTCTTCAGCCTGCCTAGCTCAGTGTATCAAGAATGCTTCTAGTCAGTTTAGCAAGAATCTCACACTCTTGATAGCTGATCACCCTGGCCTGCCTTCAGCAGGAATCCTGTGAAGTGAGCTTATCAAGAATACCCATACCTTTTGGGCGCCTGGGTGGTTCAGTTGGGTAAGCATCAGACTTTTGCTCAGGTCATGATCTTGTGGTTCTTGGGTTCAAGTCCTGTGTTAGGCTCTGTGCTGATAGCTCCCTCGGAACCTGGAGCCTGCTTCTCTCTCTGCCTCCCCAGCTCATGCTCTGTCACTCTCTCTGTCTCTTTCTCAAAAGTAAATAAAGGGGTGCCTGGGTGGCCTAGTCGGTTAAACATCCGACTTCGGCTCAGGTCATGATCTTATGGTCCGTGAGTTCGAGCCCCGCGTCGGGCTCTGTGCTGACAACTCAGAGCCTGGAGCCTGTTTCAGATTCTGTGTCTCCCTCTCTCTGACCCTCCCCCATTCATGCTCTGTCTCTCTCTTTTTTCAAAATAAATAAACGTTAAAAAATTTTTTTAAAAAGCAAATAAATACTAAATAATAATAATAATAATAATAAAGAGTACCTGTACCTTTGATGTCTCCTCTTAGTAATTTTTTTATCCACTGATCCCGTTATGCTCTTTAGCTATAATCCCCAGCTAACTTTGCTGCATTTGGAGTTGAGCCCTATTTCTCACCTTTATTGCAATAGCCTTGACACCTATTGCAATAGTTGTGAATGAGGTCTTTTTTTGCCATTTTAATAAGTGTCAGAATAATTTTTTCTTTAACATGAGCGATTGCCTTTCAGCAACTCTTCTACTTACTGCTTCGTTTCCATTCTCTCCCTTGAAAATGAAGACGGTTTAATAATCCAAATCATGAGATTTAAGATTACAAAATATTTCCTTTGTTTTAAATAGCATATTTTCTATTACTATGAAAATTAATGTAACATAAGGTAAATACCTAATACAAGTGGCTTTAAAACACATCATATATGATTTGTGTGTCCATATTTAATCTGAACTCAACAATTTGTAATAGATAAAGTATGAACCACTGAATCTAACCAATTCCCTGTTTCTGAGTGCTGAAATCAAATTGAGAAATTATTTTTTAACACATGTTCTGACTACTGTTCCATTTATCTGATCATATACAGACAAGGCTTACCTAAATGTCAAAAATAATGAATATATAACTGAGCTTGAATATAGTCACATTTACTTCAACATTTTACTCCCTTAACCACTTATTTATATCTTGGCAACTATTTGGAAAGATTTTAACATTACATCTTTTTCTCTTATTGTATTAAAAAAACATCTCGGAAACTGTTTAGGTAGAGGATCAGTTCAGTATTATCTCATCTGAACTGTGTTTGTATATGTCAGATGAAGACCTTTGATTCATTTTTTTTAAATGCCTTGGCATTAGAATTATTGTTTTCAACATTTGAATTGTGCATGTATACACATGCAGATGCTAATAAAGGGAATTCTTAAGGGTAAAATAATCTTTTTAAACTCTATTTTTAAAAATTTTCATGAATAGACTGAAAACAAAACTATTTAAAATAAAATGCTATCTTATTTTTTCTGGTATCTATGAAGCTCTTTTTCAGCTAAGTGAATTTTTAAAAGACATGTATATCATTTATGAAGTAAAGACAACTCTATGCATATATTTCTGCTGAAGAACAGATAAGCTTATCTAAACACTATTTCATTTACCCAACTGTCAGCTTACATTTTATTACCAAATTTTTATCAAATGGCAAGAGTGACATTTTTATGTTCAGATGATGAATTATTTAAAACATATTTTTCTAGAATTATTATTTTTCGGGAATTCTAAAGTCAGTCATTGATAAAATGAAAGAAAATAATTACAAGTTGACCAAAAACATCCTTTTAATAGATAAATACATGACTTCAAAGATTTATGTTGATTTATCTTGTAGCTGGACTTGCATTCACATCTCTAAGTCTGAATTCTTTTTATTTAATTCATTATCATGTTCAATACAACTTCTCTCCAATTGGTTCCTTGTATAAATTATTCCCCAAAACCCCTGCTTGTCCTTCCCTGTCCTTATAATGCTCACACATTATGCCAAATAAAAACTTTGGTAAACAGTTTGAACTGTTAGGTGGTATTCCCGCCAACTCACTTTTTCTCTTATAAGTTTGAGGACCTCTACCTTAGCTAAACAAAATTACTTGTTACAGACACAAAATTGATTTACACTCTAAGCGTGTGAAGTTATTAATCTACCTTCATTTGCAACTCTAATTAATATTATTCTCCACAAAATATTTCCAGACTGATCCCTCTATGGTCTTTGACTTGAATGAGCTCCTGAGCCTTTGTATTTCCTCACCTCCTTAATCACTTTGCACTTCGGCATCCCTCAAGTGTTATTCTCCAAAATGTGTAGCATGGAGAAAAGAGGAAAATTAACAGGATAAATTTGCTAATTTAAATTTAATTATGTACAGTGTAAGAATAACAGATTTAATTTCAATGCTGGTTTATGAGCATAGACTGTCTTTTCAAGAACATCTGTGTCATCCACTGTGATTTATTTTGCTACAAAGTGTCTTTGCACTTATAAAGAGTGGCCACTAGAGTGCTGCAAGTATCCATTCAAGTTTGAGTCCTTGCTCTGTGAGGATATTCTAGTAGTGATTAAAACAATAAGGCTGATCTATCTTTGGAACATATGGGCCAGTCTCAGTAAAGAAATGCTAAAAATCATTTAAACCATGCATAGTTTTATTTGCTAATACATTTATACTTCTAACTCTTTCTCTGTTCATGCATTAGATTCAAGGTATAGAAGCTACTGAAATGAAGTCAGTGTTTTAGTTAATAAAAATTAGTTTCCATTTTACTATCTTACCATCAGCACTTTTACAATATAGTTACTTTCTTTTAGCATTTAGGATTGAGTATTTATATGTCTCCTTTCCATAACAATTCTTAATTTCTATTCATTAAGAATATAGGCCATGCTAGAGATGAACTTTCATCAATTTTCTCTTTTAAAGTATGCTTTTAAGTTTAAATATCCATTCAAAATATCAATGATAAGGTTTTTGGGGAAAAAATCTACTTTGCATGTGTAGGCAACAAGGTCAGGCTGCCCCAAGATGGGTCACTTTGGCATGAAGATTATTATTTTGAATTAAGGCAATCAAAACTCAGTAGATTCAGGAAAAGCTCCTTACTTCCCCCTCCACACCTAAAAATAATTTAGACAGGGGACCTGATCAGAAAGAGATCAGTTATTACCAGAAATAACTACATTTTGATAAGAACTAGGTATGGTAAACACAGAGGAACCTAGCAAAGCCTATCTGATCAGTCTTCTATGTCCTATTGTTTCTGAATGGCAGCAAACATTTGTTTGCCAAACATTTACTCTTTTTCCACTTCCTGTAAATTGCATAGCTTCCTTTTGAAGTCCTCCTCCTTAGATCAAAGTACCTCATTTTGACTGACTAACTTTGGGATTTCTGTGTGGATTTTGTTTTCTCCTATTTATCCGTCTCTTGTCAATTTGATTCTTAGTCCAACTAGAAGGACCTTGAAGGACAGAGGAACTTCTTTCTCCTTGACCTGTTTAACTAGACATGTTTGAATTTTAAAGTTCAGCCTACCACCTAAATGCATTTTTTGTCCTTAGAAGTGAGTTCTTTGAGGACAAGGTACTGCTTTATTCATCTTCATAGTTATGATGTCGACTTCATATCTTTAAAAACAAATATGAACACTGATCATTTAAAAACAGGAGAATTAAATGTATTTCTTAGTAAACATTAAGAAAAGCATTTGATCTGGCATTTATGTATTTTATCATCTGTATTCTTTATTCATATTTACACTTGAATAACACTTTATATAAGATAATTTGGGATATTGTGATTCATTAGAATTATATATATTTCCTTCATTCCCATTTCTGATACGGAGCTCCCAAAACCCCTGAATTTCTTAAGTGATGAGACTGATAAAGGTGTCTTTTGTTATGTTGATGAGTGAGTTTCAGAATGCTTCTAGGTCACTTAAGGATGGGGCTGATCTTCAGGAGAACCAACCATGTGATTCAAGGGTTGGAACTTTCAGTCCCATCTCCTTGACCGCCAAAAAGAGGGCCTGAAAATTGAATCAATCATCAATGGTCAGCGATTCAATTAATCTTGACTATGTAATGAAGCCTGCATAAATCCTCAAAAGGACTGGGTTCGGAGAGCTTCTGGGTAGGTAAACACGTGGAGATGCTGGGAGAGTTGTGCACCTGGAGAAGGTATGGAAGCCTAGAGCCCTTTCCTCTTGCCATGCCCTATACATCTATTCCTGAGTGATATTCTTTCATAATGAACCAGTAACTTAGTGAGTAAGCAAGTCTCTTGAGTTTGTGAGCCACTCTAGCAAATTAATTGAACCCAAAGAGAGGATCATGGGAACCTCTGATTTACAGCTAATCAGTCAGAAGTGTGGGTAACTACCTGCAATTGCAACTGGTATCTGAAAACGGGAAGTAGAGGCAGTCTTGTAGGACTGAACCCCTAACCTGTGGAATTTGATGTTATTTCCTAGTAGACTGTGCCAGAATTGAGTTGAATTCTTGAATACCGACTGGCGTTTGAAAATTGCTTGGAGTAGGGTGGGGAACACATCGTCATGGTCGAATTAATCCAAGAACACCAAAAAGATACCTGATTCCTTTTGTTAGGATTAGAAGTATAGGGTAGTAATATTTTCACTTTAAATAAAAATTGAAATCAAGGTACAGAATTTACTTCATACATTAAATTATTAATAGATATTTTACTAAAATTCCTATCTCTTGAGAGAAGAATTATTTTTATCATCTTTTT